GGAATGAAACCAAAGGGACATTTTAAAGAATTTGAATACTCTGCATAGGTACTAGCTGGAGATGATGGGACTGTGAGAAGACTTCATGACTTCTTCCAGCAATATTTCCTTTCTAAGCTGGTCGTTTTGCCTTTATTTTAACAAAATGTTGATCTTGCGTAGAGGTTTGAAGAGCTCCCTGCACCACAGGACACACCTGCCACTTCTGAGGTGTTCCTTGGGTTGCTTCATCTCCCTTGAAAACTCGTTCTGCTAGGAGATAGTGACACTGAGAACCTCCTGTGGCCTTTGTGCAGATGCCTGACCAAAACTGAGACAGAATCTGTGCTTCACCCCCCTCACGTGCTGTCCTTTCCTCCCCTGCAGGCGTGAATGACAGAGGAGGTGCCCCCGAGCGCGCTTACGGACGTGAACCTGCGTCTGCTCTGCCACGATGACATAGACACAGTGAAACAGCTCTGTGGAGACTGGTTCCCAATAGAGTACGTTACTGGTTTGGGCTGTGAGGTGGCGGGGATCTAGAAACACTGTGAACCTCCCCTGGTCTGGTTCAGGGCAGACACCAAAGGCTCTGCAGCCATCTGGGCTGTCGCCGCCAGTACGTGCTGCTGCTGCAGGGCTCTGGGAGCTGATCTCTGCCTGCCCCAGGCCCCTGCGTGCTCAGTGCCTGTGTCTGCACGTGCAGGGGAGTGAGGAGCTTGCCTGCACAACACTGATAATGTTCTGCCTTAAGTCAGCCAGGGGAGCTCCAGCTGTAGACTCAAAGGGGGGGTGGTTGTGGGTGTGGTTTCCTTTCCTTTACCTTTGTTGAGAAGGTTTATAGAGCATTTTGGAGGATCCTAATGAAGATGGCATGAAAGGTAACACACCAGCAAAAGCATTCATAATATTTTGAATCTGTAGGTTTCTTTTGAAGACAAGGTGTGCTGGACTCTCACTTTGAAATAAATGAGCACACACTAGTTCCCCTTTGGCAGCTGCAGAAGAAGGGGGGCAGAGCTGGAGGCTGGTGATGGGATTTTTTTGGTAGCAATATACAGGATTTTTCTTTTCACATGTGTATCAAATTAATGAGCTCCTTACGCTCTTAGATGAGGGCAGATGGATTTTGGGTTTAAAAATAGCTTGCTAGAGATGGAAGTGAGAGCTCTGGGCAGTGAATGTGCAATGAAAACGTGGCTGTCCTAGCAAGGCAGGAGGCCATCACAGGAGCAGCCAGCGTGGCTGCCTAGATGCAGTCCAAAGAAACCACGGTACCAAATGGGGTCCAGCAGCTGTGTGATGTTCCTTGGTACCATGCAACAGCTAAAGGGAAGGTGGATAACTTCCTAACCCTGATTTCATGGAACAAGCTAAATCAGTAGCATAGAAAGGGCTCTGTGTCCCCAAACATTCCTGGTGTCCCTTCTTTCCCAGGTATCCTGACTCATGGTACCGAGATATCACTTCCAACAAGAAGTTCTTTTCCCTGGCAGCCACGTATAGAGGCTCCATCGTGGGGATGATAGTGGCAGAGATCAAGAGCAGGACAAAGGTGCATAAAGAGGTAATGCTGCCAAACTGTGCTTCTGTAGGGGATAATCCACCTCTTGCCATGGTCGACTGTGGTGGAACCTGTTTTGGGGTATTTTCTTGCTCCCCTGTTCAGATGCTTTTAAGAGTGATCCTGAGTTAATTTAAGAAACCAAGAGTGTGCTGATTTCCAGCTAATGGGTGGTGGGATGGGGTGTGTCTGAACCTGTGGGCTACTGAGCAGCCTGGTACCAGAGTCTCTTCTGGCTGGGGCTGGGCAGCTGTGGCCCCTGGGGCCCTTGCTGCCTGGTGAGATCAGATGGTGTAGGTGGAACCCCTGAGTGACTGTGTCACAGGCCACGTAACTGCTGCTGGGGGCTGAGCAGCAGGGGGAGAACCAGCCTCTTCCTCTCACATAGGGCTTGAGCTTCCTTAGCTGGGCTGGGCAGCCTCTGCCGTGGCTTCCTGCAGAGCCTCCTTCGTTTGCAGGGCCACTGACTCGGACACAGAGCAGAGGTGCAGGAAGCTCAGGCTTCAGGGATAGCAGACCTTGGAGAGACCACAGAGGACAGCAGGGAGGTGAGGAAGAGATGGTCACTGGAGACAGTATGGGAAGAGACCACTGGGTTAGTGAAGGGAAAACAGCAGAGATAAGTGGATTAAGAAGAAGCAGGGGCAATGCAGTGAGTGCATGGCTTCTAAAAGCCCATCAGTGTTAGGATTAAACAATCATCTTCACACCCATAGGAGCTGAGAGCATCGAGTGGCATGGCTCTCTTTGCTCTGCCTGTCTGGCTTCACCTCAAAGCCAGTCAGAATCAGAACTGCATCTTCAGCAGCTCTGACAAAAGGCTTTTGTTCCAGCCAAGCTGAAAGCCAGGGGCTCATTCAGCCACTGCTCTGGGCGACTGAGCCTGGAGAACATGCTGCTGCTCTCCTGCAGCAGCACAGAGATCTCCAGCTGACACAGAGCTCTGATGGGGCACGCAGGCAGCAAAGACTGTTGCTGGAGTGATCTAGACACTGGTGGCTCACTCCACAATTGGCACTTTGAGGCCTTCCTGGTAAGGAATGCAAATATATTCTGTCCTTAAGCCCACAAATAATGTCTCTAGTGAGGAAATGTCATCATTTGTATTGTGTCCAGGGAAATGATATAGAAGTAGGGACAACCCCTAAGGGACCATGCTTGGATTTTTTGACTGCCCACATCCTTTCCAGAAGCTTCAGCAAGGACTGTTCAGTGAAGAGCAGGTTCCTGCTATAGCCTTGTTTTCAAATGTTCCCATCTGGGATTCTGGCTTTCCCCTGTTCCTCCCCAGGTACCCTACTAAATAGCTTGTCCTCTCTACTCAGGATGGAGACATCCTAGCTTCCAATTTTCCTGTGGACACTCAAGTTGCTTACATCCTAAGCCTCGGAGTGGTGAAGGAGTTCAGAAAACATGGCATAGGTAAGCTGCTCCAAGTGACAACTCTGTTGCTGTTGTTTGCCACGTGTGGCTAGTGGGCATGGCTGAAGGAGCTCCACCACTTCCCCACAGCACCCTTTGAGACGAGCTTGTTGGTGCCTTGTACCAGCAGTTAGGAAGGTGATGCACTCACATCCCCTTCTTGGTGGTGATGCAGGTGAACCTCGAGGTTTTTACCATGGCAGGCACAACACAACGTGTAGGTGTTTCTGAAGGACGTGGGGCTGTGTCCATCTTGTTCCCAGGGGATGGCAGAGCCCACCAAAAACTTGAACTCCTGCTGCTGAGACTGACTGGAAGCTCTAAGACTTCACCCTGGAGCAGGGTTCAAAATGATTTTCTTTCATGGGTATCAGAAGCCTGCTCCCTGAGGCAGAAAATAGAGCTACATTTAACCTCTCAACTTCCACAGATAGGACAAGTGTTTAGAAAAAGACAAAGGGAACTGGCAAAAGGCTGTAACTTGGAGCTGATTAAATCTGTCAGAGACATGTAAAAGGCAGCTCTGAAAGCCTGCTGCACCAGGCAGTGTTCCTGCAGCCATCTGAACATCCTGCTATCAGAAGGGCTTAGCTCCATTTTGAGCAGGATCTGTTCTGTCATCAAGTTAAGTGCCCTTCTGGTGCAATTTGAAGCATGATCTGTGTCTCTGATCTGCAGCTGGAATAGGCCAGTTTTGGCAGCATGACCCCGTGTTGCACATCTGGAGTCTTCTTAGTGGCCAGAGGTATAACTCCTGTTCTCCAAGCCCTCCCTTCTCCCCAGTCATGGTTAGAAGGGTACAAACTAACAGGGCACATCAAGACTTGACCAAGAGAGTCCCCAGTGAGAGCACTGTATTTGAACCTTGCATTGAGATGCTGCTGGAGAGACATTCTCTGTACAAAGAAGATACCACCAGCACAGAAGAACGTTCAGAAGAGGTGGTAAAGGGGTTTCCAAATCCTAAAGTTGTTTGATTTTTTTTCCCCAGCCCATCTTGCTGGAATTTTCTCCTTTCAGTATTTCCTGTAGCTGTCCCATCTACACAGCACGTTGCTGTGCTCTCTCAAACACTTTGGACTTGTACCTGTAGCAAAACAACTGAAAGAAGTTGCTGCCTGCTGCTAATTTTTTGAAACCTTTCTCTTGGGGGTTTTTCTGCTTGTGTTTGAAGCTGAAGTCTTTCATGCAGGAGGCTTTTCACCCCAGGCATACTTCTCATCACTAAAGCTCTGATTTTTTTCTCTGGCAGACATTAAAAGCTTTTGGTTTCCAGTTCTCTGCTATTCTTAAACCAGAGGGCAGTTGGTTTTCTGTGGGATAGAAAAGTGGAATATCTCATAACAAAATTAAACTGCTCTCCTCTGGATGTTTCTCAGTGTCTTTTTGTGCTTGGCTGATAAAAATTCTCACCAAGTATGGAGTGACCATGAAGTCAGCACTGCTGGCTCCTGCTCTGAAATCCTGTGGGCCCTGGGGATGGTGGAACAGCAGCACCTCACCTGTGTGTGTGTCAGCTCAGCTGCTTCTCCAGCCTCTTGCTACCACACCCGAGGGGAGAAGTTCTCCTTCAGGTTCTGCTGGTGCTCCGTGCCATGATGAGGTGGTTTGGGTGAACCTCCAGGTCTCCTCTCTTGGGTCTTCTCTGTGCCCTTCTGGTTTCTGTGGCTGCAGCAAATCCAGGTGGGATGAGACTCTGCCTCAGCTTCCCTCCTTAGAAAGGATCTTAAAATCCTCCCAGTTCTCAGTGTAGAACTCCCACCTCTGGCTCATCCTTGTGGTGATGGAACCAGAAGTTTGTGTCTCTGAAATCCCTTTTGGGAAGCCACGCTCAGAGGTGAGGTGGGGCTGATATGAAAACCATGTAGCATGGGCCTGTTAAGTTAATTTCTGAAGGTGACCTGTGAGAACTGGGTGTCTCTGGGGCTGCTTAGGCACTGGGTGCAGATCTTGGCTGGGACCCACGGAGCCCTGTGATGTCCCTGAGAGGTGACTGCACTGATTCTGCTGCTCTTCCCTTCCACAGGCTCACTCTTGCTCGAGAGTTTAAAAGACCATATATCAACAACAGCCCAGGACCACTGCAAAGCCATCTACCTGCACGTCCTCACCACGAACAACACAGCAATAAACTTCTATGAAAACAGAGACTTTAAGCAGCACCACTATCTCCCCTATTATTATTCCATCAGAGGGGTCCTCAAAGATGGCTTCACCTACGTGCTGTACATCAACGGCGGACACCCCCCCTGGACAATCTTATATCCTTTACCTGAGGGTAAAGCACACCAAGCAGGCACCAAACCCTCTCTTGGGTTGACACTAGCCACCCAGTGAAGCGTGAGCTGCCCAGATCTGGGGACTGGTGCCCCCTCGGGGGTGAGCTGGATGGGAAGTCAGAAGGAAGGTGATCTTAGGGAGGTTTGGCAGCACCCATTTGTGCCCGGGCTTCAGGGAGAAGTGTGGGGTAGTGCACTGACTTGGAGCACGTTTGGTGGCAGTGATGGTGAATGCTGGAGTTAAGTGCTAGGCGTGCTTTGGCTTGTGGGGTGCAGGGTTTGGCCAGCAGCACGGCTGAGAAGCCCGGGGTGACTCTGGCCTCGCCTGGAGCTCGGCAGGCTGCTCTCAGACTGACTTTGGGAGTTTGTTTCAGGTCATTGGCTGGTTCCTGGGTGTAGCTAGTCAGCCCAGCACTCTCCAGGCAGGTGGATGGGTTGCCATCCCATGGGAACGTGTGTGGAGTGCACAGGGGATGGGAGCTGCTTACAGGAGGTGTTTCCCACAGCAGCTGGAGCCAGCGTTCTGTGCTTGCTCTTATAGCCCAGAGCAGACCTGCTCTTGCTGGAGGGGAGCAGAGCAGCCTGCACGGAGCCCTGGGGGCTCTTCGGGCAGCACTCCTACCTTCGGCTCTTTCTCAAGTCACAGTTTAAATGCTGCTGTCCTTAACTGCTGGGCACTGACTACCTGCAGCACATCGGGTCTGCGCTGGCCAGCCTGAGCCCCTGCTCCATCCCGCAGCGGCTCTACCGGCAGGGCCCGCGGCCCGCCCCCCGCCCT